AATCCCTGACCCTGACATTTCACTAAGTTTTATAGACTAAACAGAAAAAAAAAGCAAGAAAATATGCTAAGCCAAAGAAAAATGGAAACAGAGTTTGTTGATGAAATTTTTGGGATTTTAAGTTCTTTTCCCAATGTCAGCCAGTTTTGGTTTTCCAGATGAAGTGCCAGATAGGTTTTCAAATGATCCATTATCCACATAGTTGATATAAACACACATGTTGGTGATCCAATGAACTTTCTCCTTTCTATCAGAAGTGTGGGCTGAGATAGGTTTTTTAGGAAGGATTTTTACCTGCTGGAAAAATATTTGGGGCCAATCCAGGCTGTACAGTCTTTGGGCTACAAAGAAAGTCTGTTTTACTGTTATAGAGATCTAAGTACCCTTCTAGCACTGGAGAAATAAACTATATTATGTGACTGGTTAGCTCAAAATGTGAAAACCTGTGGCATTTTACTTGTTGCTAAATCAATACATCTACTGCATTTTGAGCTTTTGTAGGGCATACAGAGCTGATCAGGAGCTAGAAAATTGTGCAGAAGTGGGCTGATCATACTAAAATGTCTGTTTTATTTGAATTTAATTTAAAAATGCCTTCATGTATATAAGAAAAGTCACTGGAGGTATTGTAAGAGATCTCTTGCACTTGACAAGCAAATTCAGTAGTATTATCTGTGGATACACCTGTTTGATGTTTCCCATCCTCAAACTCTTTTAACCTTAAAGTTACTTTTATTTTTTCCAAGGTAGGACTAAAACTTTCCACAGCATAGCTTTGCCTCAGGTTGTGTTTTATATTTTATATTTGGAAAAAATCAGGCTTGTCTGAGGGTAAGATAATAATTCTGGCGTTTCTTTCCATTTGGGAAGTTTTAGTGTTCAATGCTTTAATGAGGCTTGAAGTTTGTCTTTTATGTACACCTCATGATTATCTCACCCAATTCACCTTTGAGATATTGTAATTTACAAATAGCTGGGGGGCTTTTCAGAGCTCAGCAGACTGTTATTCCTCATCAACAGTCAGTTCTTTCCTTGTTCCTAAGAAGAGCTGGAGTTAGCAGATGTGTTTTCCATAGCATATTTGGGTATATTCCCTTCATCTGGTCCACTAAATTAACACTCCTCTTGAAAATGATGCCTCATGTGTAGTCTGGACATGAGTACTTTGTTCAAGTTTGGATACTGGGACAGAAAACAAAACTAGTGTCTGGTCACAACCACCTTAACCCTGTGGTGGAGGCAGAAGCTGGTGGGATCAAAAGCAGGGGGGGAAATTCGAACTGAGGAGGAAAAAGATGAGACATACAATAAAACAATTTGCCGAGGACATTCTTTCTAAGGAGTTAAACCCAGGTTGTGCATAATGCACAGCAGTGAGCACAACACTGTACCCAAGTGACAATGGGAGTTGAACAGAAAATTATTGTGTGCATTCATGTAATGAAAGCCTGCTTTGCCTGATTAAGTTTGTCCAGGCAGTTTTCATTCTGGCTTTCCTCAATCTCTAAATGCTTGGCTTTGAACCAAAGAGTTTTTCAAGTTCTTCTAACATATAAAGTGTCATATATAAATGGTGCCTTTGTTTTGAAGTTTGTCACTTCACTGCTTCCTCCTCTTCACTGAAGAAAAACAAAACTCATTAAAGATGGTCATGAACAAAGGAAAATATATTGGTAAAAATTAATTTATGCAAAAGTTGAAGTTTGATATTGGAATACTGAGGCTGTTTTGCAGAAGCTGAAAAGAAAATTATGCTTTTGACATGAGGAACACGACAGCTGGACTCTGCATCAAATCCTTTTGCTTTGATATGCAGAAGTACTTGCATGTTAACTTCACAACAAATTTGACAAAGAAGCTGCTGGCTTACTCCAACCTTTCTCCAAAACACTTAAAATGGTCGTTCAGAAATGTTTATCTAGGAAGAGATCAAAAAGCCGAAATCCAGACAATTCTCTATTACAAGACAGCCATTAAGGACAATGAAAAAGAAATAACATCTGGCTGAATGGGGATTGTGACAGCTGAAAAATGAACAGAGTTTTTTGGACAGTAATTATGATCTCCCTTCAATGCTGTCTTCATTTGCATTTGAGCTGCTCCTTATTTTGATCAGTGAAAATGTGATGCAATCCACCTGCCCTTTCTTCAGAGAAGGAAGTTGCAATGTTCATGTGTTCATTCATTTACTTACAATTCAAAGCTTCAAGTTCAATAGCCATTAAAAGACAAATTGTTCTGATCTGGATAGTCAGGAATAGCTTTTAGAAGAAAGTAAACTTGTACTTTTTGGGGGTTTTTTTGGTTTTTTTTTTTTATTATTTTCAGTACATTTTGTTCAGAGAGAAGAAACTAGCAAACAAAGCCCCAGGCATAAAAAAACAAAGCCGTTTTTTTGGGGTTTTTTTTTATTATTTTCAGTTTCAGTACATTTTTTTCAGAGAGAAGAAACTAGCAAACAAAGCCCCAGGCATAAAAAAACAAAGCAAACCCTACCAATATCTGCTTATTGAATTGGAGGGATTCTTGATCTAATGGAGAATGGGCTTGTTTGTCACACCTGTGTATTGAGGGACCACTCAATAAGAAAGAGGCAACAGTACTCAAGACAAGCAAAGAGTCATTAGTCCTCTACAGTGGGAGGCTGGTCTTTAAAGATGGACACACAAACCAGTAGGAGGACAACAGAATAGAATGGAGAGAAACATGTTATTTCCTGTTTAGTGTCTGAATCTTTTTTTTCTTAATTTCATTTTCCCTGAGCAGAAAATTTGGGAAGAAGAATGGAGACCATGTTTTGTGTCAGAAGATGTCTGAATACACCTGAATAAGTCATTCCCTTTCCATTTCCTTTTCCCCTCAACTGCTTAGCCCTTCTACTTTTATAAACTAAGATTCTCCTTGAGGAAAGTGTCCAGTTGTTGGTTCCACATGTGTATGTGTGTTGACCTGCCTGTGAACACTTTTTATCTTCCAGTCCCTGTATTGGCTCACCTTGCCTTTGATTGATTCCTCCTGTTTCATGTTGTAGAGCTGCATGGCTACTGCTGTGATTCAGATTAGACCTTACTGTGTGGGCTTAGTCTTGAGAAAAACCTTTGATCTACCCTCAGAGTTCTTTGTTTATACTTTCTTAATTCCAGTATTAGCTTGTTTTTGATAGCTCTTTGTTGTCTGTGGCAATCTGTGAAACTGCTTCATAAGCGCCATGTCGTCAGGAAGGTTTGTATTTAATGGATTCCTCACTTGAAAAGAGGCCACACCACAAACAGGTGGATACTTAATATGTCCCCATGGTCTAGAAAAACCCTATAGCCTTCATCTCATCTGCTCCCAAACCAAAAAAAACCCCCCAAAAAAATGGGACCAGTAATCATTTTTGCTACCTGATAAATGTATGGGGACCGCATCTAAAGTGAGACCTTAGACTATGCTTGAACACATCTGTTGGAGACAGAGCTGAAAAATGCCTTCTCAGCCTTCAGGAGGAGAAGGGAGTCACCCTACACCTGTACAGACCAAGCAGGGAACGAAGTTCTCATTGAAAAAGGTAGAAATCCAAGGAAAGCCTGTGTCAAAGGGGAGTGATCCACCTATACCTGTCAAAGGTGAACATTTAGTGTTATACTAGCAAGAGCAGGCAACTGTGGTCAAGGTAGCTGTCACAGAGATCTTCTTTGTAACTTCTGACCCTCTTAGCCACTGTGCATGATATATCTTTTAAAGGGACCTAAACCCTACAGTTTTGGGGTTTGTTTCAGTCTTTAGACAAATACACTTCCAACAGAGTTTTAGAAAGTGTCACTCCCTTCTAGAAGATAGAACAGGAAATGTTGCATGTTATTGTTGTTATTGGCAGTCTTCCTTCCATTTTTTCTGACAAAGCAGACAGTGGAAAAACAAATAGAACAACTGCATTCTTTTTCTGTAATACCAACAAAGATATCTGTTGGAGGAGGGGAGTGTGGTCTCTACTGCTTTAGCTAAATGTGGAACTGTGAATGTCATGGAAACAGGGGTGGTTCTGCTCAAGAAAATTTCTTGTGAAGATAAATCCCCTGGGAACATATTCAATGGGAGCAGAGATGTAGAAAGAGATCTATATAGACACCGATTTGTTTATGGTTAGAGGAAATCTGCTTTAGCAAAAATGCAGTGTTCCTATTGAGTCTGAAGATGTTAGAAAGTTTGGCAAAATTAATAATTTATGGGTTTTTTTTATTCCATGGAAACATGCAAAGCTGGAAGGGAGCCTTATTGGTCATCTAGTGAAGCTGCAAGGATTAGAACAACTTATGGTGCTTCTGTGAGATATTTCCTTGACTTGAGGTCTTGGAGGATTTCACACTTTTTCTGGGCAATTTAATACAGTTTTTTATTAAGTTTCTTGGTAAAAGATTGGGGAAGGCTTTAAATTTATTACTTATCTATTTAAAAAAATATAGAGAAAGGGCATTCTTACTGAAGTATCTTGTGCTTGACTTGATGCCTAAAGAGGCTGACTTGGAACAGAGGCTGGGCAGAGTTAAAGGAATAAAGTAGGTATTTACTGAAAGGCCTTCAAAGGATACACCTTGGGCAGCACAAGAGCCCAGCCAGGGCTCTGCCCAAGATGGACACCTGGTCATGAGTTTTCACACTTTTATAAGTTTTGGTCCATTTACATATTGGGGTCAATTGTCCAATTACACCTTCAGGTTATGAAGTCCTATAGTGTCAAAAAGGGGGCAAGGCAGCTGCAGATCTGGCTGCCACTTGGAAATCATTCTATAAGACTTTAAAAGAATGGAAAACTTGTAATTAAAAGAAAAGGGGGAATTGTGGTTAGATAAAAGGTAGGAGAATAGAGACAGTGGTGAAGGTAGTCTGGCCCCTAAGGAGTTACAGCTGTGCTAATTATCAAGCATTAAGAACAAGCCTGCTCTTAATAGGCCACAGCTGGATCCAATTAAGAGGGGTACTATAAAAGAGCAGGTTGGCTGATTGAGGGGGCAGATGGAGTTTGTTGCCTGTGCTGAGAAGGTGGAGTCAGTGCTGTGAGGAGCTGCTCATGAGAAACCACTGAGAAGGTATGAAACCTTTACAATAGGATAACAACAAAGTCCCATCCTCCTGCTTTGCTCTCCTCAATTTGCTGCTGTTTACACTTCTTGAGCCTAAAGCTGCAAAGATGTCCATGGTTCTCAGGCTGGAAAAGCAGTGTTTGTCAAACTAAACTGTGAACTTGTCAAACTAAACTAAAGTGAACTTGCTAACACTTTATATGAAGTTCAGAGTCACACACTAAGGCAGTACAGAATCTGAAAAATATGAAAGCTAAAACTTAAGGCATCAGATTTGCCCTAAATAAAATCCTGCAAGCTGCACTAGAAAGGTAGTTACAGCAAAGGGTTAAAATCTGTCATAGGAGAAGGGTTTCTAACTTGCCTTCAGATATTTACATGTTAAGTATAGGCTTGTTACCCTTGGCTCCCTTTATAGAAACAGGCACCTTTGAAGGATAATTAATCTTTCCTTTTCAGCCACTCAACCTTTGGGAGGTGGAAACTCGTGATTTCCTACAGCTATTTCTCTGAATAAAGCCACTCCACTTTCAACTGTTTCGTGCTTGTTTTGCAGGAGTATGCAGGTAACTAAGTTTGGAATTTTTTTTTTTTTAGAAACATTGAATTTTAAGCACTCAAAAGATTTTTTTATTAGAAGTTTAAGGAAAGCAAGTTTCAGAGTCAAGAGGATTTGTTATTCAGAACAGGTGTCTTAGGCTGAAAGCCAAAATGTTATAATGTAATCTTAATGTTCTATCATAATTTAGTTTAATGTCAGATATAAAACATGTTCTATGAATCCTGTCTGAATAATACTAAAACCAATACACTTTTCTGGTAAATTATGTCAGACAAGGGATTTGTTTGAGAACACTGAAAGCTCTCATGAAAAGAGACTGCATTTTCATTTTGGAGCTGCTTCCTTTGTCTGCAGAAAATTTTCCAAGACTCCCAAGTGGACGTTTAATGCCTAATTGAAAGAGAAAGAAAAATTAAAATATTTATCTTGAATTCTCCATATGTATAGGCCAATATATAATGTGATTTAGATGCTGATTATCATTGTCACTTATCTTTTTTTTTTAGCTGAGTGTACATACTTTTTTCTTTTTAAAGCATGACTGGAGTTTATAATGTTAGGCAGTTGTGCAGATTCACTTATGTCATACGTTGTTCTCACATGCTTATATTCCTCCTTCTCACATGAGTAGTTTTTTCTCTCATGCTAATATTCCTCCTATTACAGCATGAAATGTCCAAGAGGAGAAAGTGCCAAACACTCTTAACATGTCTACAGTGATTTGATCAGTGTTTTAAAATCCTGTTTAGAGAGAAGACTTATTTTAAAGCAACAGTGGGTTATTATTTGGAGATTCTTCAGTACAGATTTCAGTTCATTAGAAGATTTTTATTGCACAAGAGTAAACTTTCAAATGCTACCAGCTGTACAAATCTAGATATCAAACTCTAAGCTATTTCACTCTCCAGATAGTTCTTTAGCTTCATTTACTGATTCTAGTATTAAAGAATTTGATCAAAACTCTGGGAGTCTTATTTCTAATAGAGCTCAAAATTTTATATGCAGTCAATAATATAAAATCATAGGAGTTTCAAATTTTATGTTTTGGTTATTTTTTAGCCACCAGCTTTCTTATTTCTTTCTGTATTTCTTCATTCTCAGATTTAGTACTATGATTTCTTTACTCACAACAGTAAATGATGAAAACTAAAATAACTTTTAAATTGAAATTAATTCAAAATTTTGTTAATGTTTTCTTACTTATCTTAAGCTTGTCTTGCATACACCCATTTTTCCTCACTCAAGATGATGTTCCACACGTGGTGTTGGTATATTTTTTCTAACAGAGAGAAAACAGAATTAAATGCTGCTGAGAAGAATGTTGCATAAATAAAGAAGAAAAGCAAAGTAATTCACTGGTTTTTTCCTCTGGATTTTCCATTACTTTTGCTTTATTTTATAATTTCTGGTATCACGATAATATATCAAGGCTGCTCTTTGCAAGCATTTGCAGCACCAGACACCTTGAAAAGGTGAAGGTTGTTAATACTATTAACAGAAAACTAATTTCAGGGTGTAGCAGATTATACCACTCATGTCAGAATGGGCTGAACACATCCTCAGGAGAGGGGGGAGAGAACAGTGCTTCTGACCAGTTTTACTGTATTAGTCAATAACATTTAGAGAATAAAAATTAAATATTTGTAATGACTCCATATGTCTACAAATATTTAAAGAGAAAAAATGTAGCTGAAAATGTTTGTCAAATAATATCCAGGAAATTATATTTGCAGGTAGTTTTTCCAGCTAGGAGAAGAAAACAGTTGAATTCTTAGAAAATGATCCATTGTGAATATGCTGAACTTTGGAGGAAAAAAGAGTGCGAGGTTCAAATGTAGTGTCTGTGTAGTAAGACTGGATTTGACCTGAATCTAGGTGCCACATTTACCTTATCCTGTTTTGAAAATGTGCAGTGTTCATTCATTGGTCTTTACACTTACAAGTCATGTTTTATCTCTGGTAATTTGGAATTAATATATTCCTTGAGAATTCCTAAGCTAATTTAGGAAATGGTATGAAAACTATTTAGTCTTGGCTGCTACCACACACCAACAAAGTACCAGAAATAGACTGGAATTAAGCTACTTTGCAGTGCCTGTGTGTTAACACTGTTTACTTGCTAAGCTGCAGCCACACCAGTGTGGGTTGCCTTTTTCTTAAACAACCAGCCACAACACTCCCTCTGGCTGCAGTATTCCTCAAACTAATGAGCACAGCGGTGTGGGAGAGGATTTCAATGTGACATCTCCTAAGAAACACCACAGAGAAGAGGATGCTTGTGGGTTCCCATGGCTCTTTCACACACATTAAGGAATAATGATACTACAGTGAATAATGTTGTGGAATTATACACTCTAATGTATTGATATAATTTACATATAAAAACTTTTTCATTTGTTAAGCTACTTCCAGCTCCTTTACCGTTTGTGTTTTAAGCAAATGTGATTGATGGTGCTAATTATTTTTAAAGATAGAGTGGGTGATATCTGTGACAGAGTAGCTGAAGAACAGCAGGATACAGGCATTGATTACAAGTATTTGGATAAAGCCTTGCTGTTTAGAGCCTGAGCCTCTTATTCACATCACTTGATACGGTTCTGCTTTACAAGAGGTTGCCAATACTCCCCACATAGCTTTGCTAGAATTTGAATGTAATCATATTAACTTCCTATCAAATAAGGATTGTAACTGGAATCCTGGCTAGCATCTTACTCTGCTGTAATTGTAGTCTCTCTATTAATATAAAGAATTAGTGAGGGTAAATAGAGCAGTAGAAAGTTCTAGCCAAAACTCTGGAGTTGCAGTCTGGGTAGTTTTGATGAGCTCAGCAAGGAGAGTTTATGCATAGTTGCCTGCTATGCAGATCACTGTTTCATCTCGTCTTGGCACCAAAATGATTCAGAGGGCACTGCTGAATTAATCTGCCATCTCAGGAGACTTAGTTTGATGGAGTTTTGATTCTTAGTTTTGAAGGCTATTCATTTATCCCTTACTGGCAGAGTTTGTTGAGGGTTGTTTTTGTTTCTTTTGGGGGGTTTGTTTGTTGGGTTGGTTTGGGTTTTTTTTTGTTTGTTATTTTATTAATCTGACAACCATAAAACCAACCATTATGAGCTGATGGTCATGTTTTGAAGTCAGAACTTTCTCTCAGCTGTCTTTCTGACCCTAGTGGTGACACCCCAGGGTGCATTTCCTCTTTCAGAGGAGGCTGCTGCCTGTTGCCTCACCTCAGGACAGCAGGCAGGGCTGCAGCAGGCTCACCACTCTCTCTACAGGAAAATTTTACCTCGTGTCAGGTCTGCCTTTACACAGGGAGAATACTTGCATTGCATGAGTATGTCCCAAGATTTTAGGGCATCGCTGTTTGTGATGTGAAATACAGCTAGACAAGTTATTTTAAACCCAAGAGTGTAATGACATTTTCTGCTCACTCTCACATCGTTCTGATTTTCAGGGCCAGCTATGCATTTGACCATGGGTGAAAAAACTGTGTGACATTTTGGTAGACAGTATTTTTACTTTCTTAATACGTGGAGGTCTACAGTAAATAATGGGTAGAGTAGGGCCAGGGAGACTCTAATGGACAGTGTGTGAAGATTAGGAGTAAGATGTGCCTGTTGGTTTGAACAAGATATGTTTAGTGCAGCCCACAGAGCCCTGACCCTAACTTCATGGCATCCAGCCCAGAGAGTGAAATGTATTCCAACAATAAATCACCAGATTTTTGTTCTATTTGACTGTGCTAAAGCAGCAGTCTGCAAAAGCTGAGACCACCAACTATGTAGTTTCTGCTGCATGTCTGCTCTAACCAAATCACTGCTTCTTTTTATGAGTCAAATGTTGCTGAGATGACTGAGAACATTATTTAGTAAGCACAGGTCTGTGCTGCTCATCACCCAACAATCTGTGCTTGATTTGCAGTGCATCCTTATCTAGTTTCCTTGGGGAATGTCTTAACATATTGAAACCATAATTTGCTGTTTTCACATCATCACAGTCATCAGCTCTTGCTATGAAAATCTTAATCATCATTTCCAGTTACTTAAAAAACCTAAACCTTGAGACAAAGCATCATATCAGCTTGCCCTAAACAAAAAGAATACAATTTAAAGAACATTTAATTATATTGCAAAAGTTTTCCATTGTTGGGGCCTATGTTTTGCTGGACCAGACACTGCTCTGCTTTTATCCATCTTAAAAAATATCTTTCTTTTACACTCATAATACTTCAAACTCTTTTTTTGTTTGTTTTCTTAGTATGGAAAAGAGGACAAGATGTTAGTCTTCAAAAAATTCAATTGAATTTCTTTGGAGTACTAAGCATATGGCCAAATTTTTCAGGTAGGGTGAGAAGAACAATACTTTGCATAGAAAATGTACAATATTGAAGTGTTCTTCTCTTAAAGAAAACCCAAACAAACAACAAAACATAAAGTAATGGATTCCTATTTTAAAAGGCACTTCAAGCACTCATGCAGGCACAGACAGCACTAATGTTCTTGTCCTGCTCTATTCTTCGGCAGGCCAGAATGGAGATCCACTACTGAAAAAAAAATAAATATATACATATAGATGTATGTATATGCATTTTTATATGAAGATATATATACACATATATATATGCATATACATATTTGTAAATGTGTGTGTATTAGTGGTATGATGGAAAATACATATAGATGTATGTATATGCATTTATATATGAAGATATATATACACATATATATGCATATACATATTTGTAAATGTGTGTGTATTAGTGGTATGATGGAAGTCCAAATACATTGAAATTTTGAACAAAAAAATAATAATAGTGTAATGCAGAGGTAATGGCTCTTTCTGAAACACTCAGCAAGAAATCCATGTCTACTGGGGTAATGGTGACCCGAGAATGGAAATGTTTGCCACATTCTTAAGGCACATCATCAGGCATGGTAATAAAAGGCGACTTAAACTGTTTGCCACCAAGTCTCTCAGGTTCAGAGAACTATTCCAACTTCAGGC